CAGCAGGAGTTCTCCTGAGTTGAGTGACTGTTAAGGATCCCAACAGTAGGGATCAGCTAAATATGCAGATGATGCTCTAATGTTCCTGAAAGAAAGCACACAAATGCTCAGGCCATTTAGGAAACCTGCTTGAATCTGATTTTAACTCAAAGCAATCTTGACTCCCTCTGGAAACTCACCAATTTAACATAAATCAAATTAATTTGGCAATTTCCTCCAACCTAATACTCTGACAAAAAGGCATTCCCTTTTAAACGCAGTCAGGGACTGTAGTGAAGCCTTCTGAGATGCCTCTCCCTTTGCATCATTAGAAGTTACCCTATGCGATCATCTTTCCATCTTGTACTTTTGAGGAACGTTGTTTGCTAAGACAGTAGGGTCTTGCTGATAGAGTAGGATGCTGATCTGCTGGTGTTACTAACTCGCTGCTGTAGTTTCTCTAGATTCTGTGTAAGGGGATTTCAGGTGTTGAACAAAACTCATTCAGCCAGCCAGCAACAGAGGCTTTCTTCATAATTCTCATAGGATTGCTCTGGCAATAGGCCTTTGGAGGCAACACGCTAGAAAGAAAGTCATCTGATGCTACACAAAGATGTAATAGGATGGTCAAGTGGATGGCTTCTAGATGTGAAAGGTAAGGTAGGGTAGCTGAGAAAATGGAAGTGAAAAAGAGAAGACTGCAAGAGCAAAGGTAGCAGATATTGTAAGGAAAAGGGGAGAAGGAATGTCATAGTAAACTAAAACTGGAGCAGGGTGAAATTGGACTGGTTTTGGTTCGGATCTGAAATAAGAGGCAAGTGATAACTGAAACATCCTCATCTTCTGGGAAATCCCAATATTTCAACACTTGTGTCTTGAGTTGCACATTTAAATATCAAAATTGTTCACTAGTTCAGAATTTTTTAAATTAAAAAACAGTAAAACATTTCATTTCCATATTCTCATTCAAAACGAAAACTCTGATATTCCTGAATTGAAAAGTTTCATTCTCATTGGTTGAACATTGTGGTTCAACAATAAACTGCGTATCCCTACTGGGGCACATTGTGTCATGGAAGTTATAGCTTTGCATGCATGATGCTTCTGTTATTTTCTGAGAGTCAGGCTCTCTGGCTAGAAAGCATTCCCTGTCAGTCACCTCGAGCCACATGGCACTCACTGTTTGTCAAACAAAGACCGTGTTGTATCCTAAGACACGTAGGGTACCTAAGCAGCACAACCCACTGGAGAGCATGTTGGCATTGGCATTCTGATTTCAAATCCCCTGAGATGCTGTGCTACTATATGGAACCTTTTGTTTGGTTTTCCCAACAGAAAATGTAAATGTTACAGAAACTTTATCTTTAATGAAGAATCTTGAGCCAGTTGTAAGAGCCTTGTCGCATGTTACACTCAGGATATGTTTTGTTTAGAGTGTAGCCAGCATGACAAAGTTACAGAGTTTTCTGAATGATCGCAGCGTAACTCTGGACAGTGCTGGAGCTGGATGTGCAGTCAGCAACAGCTGGTTATCAGTTCCAGCACTGGTATACACCAGAGCTGGTGAAGACTGCTGGTATCTCTGTGGAGCAGTCCTGCAATAGCATAACAAGGATTCCTTAACCCTATCTTGAAACACTCTTCCCCCCAAAATGCTAACTTTACTACCATATTGACCCAGATCTTGAACCTCTGTTTCCCCAAAAATGCTAACTTTACTACCATATGATCACATCTAGCATGTGTTTTCCTGCTTGAAAGAGTGACATTCATGCTTTAAGTAGCGTTAACATGTCGTAAGTGTAACGTGACAAGGCACTAAGTGAAACACAACACAGTTCATCAGAAAGCTCACAAACTTAAGGAAATCTTTTAGTGATGTTTCTGGTTACAGTACAGCCCCAGGGTCATGCAAGTTTTCTTGAATTCAGGTCTCATTTAAACAGCATGACACATACATGTTGGTTATATATAGCTCATGGTTTGTCCCTGCAAACTTAGTTCATCCAGTTCCAGATTCCCACAACTACTACCTTCAGTGGCAATCTGGCCTATGCCAAATTTCATACCCTGCATGCTCTGTTCTGATAGTAATTGGTTTGTGATCTGGGGAGTGAGTCAGAGCTATAACATCAAAATCACTCTCTTCAAGTATTCTTCCTGCATACAGTGATAAACCCTGAAAACTCCATACCTATAGCAGGTTAAAATATATTCAATGGCCAGGAAAAGCTTTAAGAAACATTAATATCTTTTTTGAGGGGTCATCTTTATTCTTCCTGCTTGGTACACAAGATGCTTCCTGCAGAAGCAGAAGGTTTTATCTTGTTTTAATGGTTGCAAGATGCAATTATATTTCCAGTTGATTCTCTGCTTCATAGCGAAGATACCTAGATGACTCACTCTCTGAAGTTATTAGGTCATTGTATCTATTCTGTCTTTATGATGTTACTAGGGATTTTGAAAGAAAATTAGACATAATTTATTGCAAGCATTTTTACAGATATGTTAATGATTCCCCTTTTCTCTACACAAGCTCATTTAGATGTGTTGATGACTGCCTCTAGAGAAGCAGTCTACTGCTCATTATGAGGACAAGGCAAGAAGTTTATAAAATTTAATCTCCACTATCTCATATAAAGCACATGTTTACATTTTTAATTCATTCCATTTAATTATCTTCAAAGGGGAATTTACTGCAGTCCATATGTGATTCTGAATTAATGAATGTTACAGCTCAAACTTTTTTTTCTAATGAAACTTTTTTCATCCGAAATGCACTGATTCATCAAATAGAAATGTTCTCAAGGAATATGTCAATTCTGACAAAATTTAAATGGAAAAAAACAGAAAATGAAACGCATTAAAATGTCAGAGCATTCCTCATAAAAATTAGTCAGAACCTTTTTGAATTTTTATTCTGTAATCTTTTAAAAATGAATTGTGTTTTATTTAAAATTATAAAAAGATCAGAATCTAAATAAAATGTTTTGAATGACACAACATGATTTTTTTGAAACTTCTTTGTTCATAATACATTTCAACATGTTGAGATTTATTCCAATTTGGAATTAAACAAATTTCTGACATCTCAGAATGTTTGCGAACTTAAAAATTTATCTCAATCAGCTGTAGTCAACATCCTTGTCTTAAAATATTTGGGGAGATGTCTTTTGCCAATGATCTCCTTCTTTTTTCATGAATAACTGCTGAATTCTGAAGAATTATAAAATCATGAATTTGTCTTTTAAAACTTTATTTAGAGTAATTTTTAAAAAGGAATGTCTTGCAGGGGAGGTTTGGGGTTTTTATTTGTTTGTTTGTTTGAATCATATCAGGCCTCTTAGATTTCATTACAGAATTATGCTACTGATAATTCACTAAATTCATAGTAAAGTCAAAATCTGTCTTTAATTCTAAGTGGGCTCTTTCTGAAACTTAACTAAAGCACTACACCAGCCTACTTAAATGTATAGCCAAGGTGTGAAAAATTAAGGCTGTATTTTTGTTTTTGAAACTGAAACAAGTGTGCTTCTGATCCAGGTAGAACTTCATAGGAAACAGAAAAGTTCAGGTGTTAAAACAGTGACTCAGATAGCAGTGTCCAGATGTGATCCATCTCTGTTGCCAGGGTCCACACAGGCATTAGGGCTTGTCACCAGCATCTGTAGTAGGGGAGCAAGCCGATGTCAAACCAGGGTTCACGTCCCGAGGGCTGATGTCAAACCAAGGTTCGCATGCTGAGCCAGACGGGTTACCATAAATGGATGTCAGGAAGCAAGCCAAAGTCAAACCGGGGTTCCGAAGTTCAGAGACAGGCAGCGACAGGAGTGCAGGAACAGGCACCAGACAAGTCATATAGACAGCAGTTACTTGCAGACTGAAACCAGTTAGTGTGCAGCGGGGGTTAGGTGCTGCAAAAGCTCCTTAAAAGCAGCCCTAGAACAAATCAGTGGACTAAGACTCAGCTGGCCCTGCTGAGGGGGTGAGCTTTGCTGACCTGCCCAGCTGCAGTGCATAAGCTTCACATCTGCTGTAAGAAACAAAAAAACTCTCTAACCTGGGTACCTGCATCTTGGATGTCTGTTTCCATATTTAAATGCCCAGGCAGGTATCTAGACACCTACATGACAACTTCTGATAGCTTATTAATTTTGGTGCTTTACGACAGACCACTGTTCTTTACTTTATACGTCTGAATTTGAAAATCGGGCTCCACAACTTAAAATAAGTCAGTATAATCTTCATCGTATATTATATGCTTTATTTTATGCATCAGATAAGAAAGCTTATGATGAACCTACCTTTCTGCTCATGAAGATGTAGATGACTGGATTGTAAGCAGTGCTTGATTTGGCAAAAAAGGATGGGATGACAGCCACTGTTGGCGTTACAAGGTTGCTATAGCCATAGGCTACTAGAAGAGAGACGACTGCATAAGGCATCCAACAGATAAGGAATGTGGAGATCATTAAAAAACACATTTTAGCCACCTTTTTTTCATATTTTAGGAGTTTGATCACTTGAACAGTCTGAAAATCTTCAATACAGCGAAGCTGCAGAGAAAAAAAGAAGGAAGAGGTTGAAAACAGGAGCAAGTAAATAGTTTTAATTTTTTTCTTAATTTCTTTTGAAATAAATTCCTAATTTCCTAGTCTATATTTCAGAAGCAGAGACTGTCAAATATTTCAGGAATAGTAGTTCTCCTGCAAATAAACAGTAATGTTTCCCAATCATTTATGATGTATAGTAAATAAGGTACAATTTGAGAAACAGAAAAATAATTTTGTTTAAAAATGACAAATCCAATGACACATCAGATTATTTTTTTTTATTAAAGTATTTTAGAAAAGTAGCATGCATCCATCCATTTGTGTAATAACTTTTAATTTCTGCTGATGCTTTTTCTCAGTTTTTGTTTTAATATATTGGTGATGGAAGGACAATCCTAGAGGTTTGTATCTTCTATCTACTAACTACAACAAGTACAATAGAAGAATTGCAGGTACAAGATTCGCTATATTTTCCTGCCAGGTTTTTTTGTAGTCCTGTTGTCATGGGACTACTTCTAGGAGGTGAAAGGGGAGTCTGTTCTTTATGCCAGGCCAGTTCTCAGCATCTGCTGAGGGAATTTGAAGAAATGGAGAAAGGATAAAACATGTATCCATACATACACAAACTTTTTCCCCCACTAACACGTTATTTGTGTTTGAGGCAGATGCTTGGACCAAGATAATCAATCCATTACCTATATCTACCAATAACCAGTTCTGATCACTGAAACTCTGGACTGATATAGAAGGAGATATGGAATATTACTTTAAAAACCTAATAGCAGCCTTGTACAAATGAGAGTCTGAAAACTGGTAACTCACAAAGCAAAGCAGATGCACTGCATAAGAATTTGATGGTTACCAGCTCAATATCTCTAGTATTAATTTCAAATAAATTGTCAAAGGTTCAAATAAAAAAATCCTATTGCTGCAACCAATGCTACAATTGACTTTTAATGCTATACCTTTATTAAATTTCTATTTCAGAATTTGTCTTAGATTCCAAGGAGGCACTTTTCCCTCTATTGCCTTTTGGCACATAAAAAACAGAACTTCATTGTGCACTACATTAGGAAAAGAATTCTACAGACTAGAGTCACTCTTCCAAGATAAGTTCCTCTCCCATATCAGGTAATTGAGGTAAAAAATAGATACATTAATAAGATTTTTTTTAAATAGCATAAATGAGGGGCAACAACCATGCAGCAGCCTCTGGTGCTGCCTTGTGGGGGTAGAAAGGAGAGCAGAAAGATAGCTGCTGTCACAGCTGGCAGCTGGCCACACTGCTGCAGCTAAGATTAGAGAAGCCAATACTGCCCCATGCACTTTTGCTGCCAAGGACATGGAGCTGTCTTGTTACACCTTTCTAAGACACTACATGAAATTAAATGTCCTTCAATGTTAGATAGGATTGTATAAGTTGCCTAGGAGTTCCCATTAAAATTTACTGTGAATGAAAATAATACCCTTTTGATATAGTAACTTTGTGAGGGGATGTTTTATCAATAGAAATATTGTTGACTATGTCAAATTTCAAGGACAATTTATTCATTTAGTTTGTCATTTAATATTCCTTGTTCCAACTCACCATTCGTATTGAATATAGAATGTGACCATAGCAGTATGCCATGATTCCAACAGGTACCACAAAGCAACCAAGAAAAAAAAAGAGCACAAAGGAAGTATCATTGGGATCTTTTGACTTCCAGTCCACTGAGCAACCTAGTCCATGTATTTCCAGTGTATATCTGTTCCAGCCTAGAAGAGGTGCTCCAGTCCAGGCTAGTGAGTAGAGCCAGATGTAAGTGATGGCCCGCCAGGACCAGGAGAAATTAATCACTTTTGCATGGACGACCCGAATGTAGCGCTCATAGGCAAGAACAGTGAGGGTCATGATTGAGACAATTCCTGTAAGGAGAAATAAAATAAATCATCACAGGGAATAGACACAAATATACTGTCAATTGGGCTACCGACTTAATCCTAGGGTGTGGACACAGGAATGCTTGGAGCCCTTTCAAAAGGGGAACATTTCAGCAGCTAGTACAGTCCATTACATGTGAACAAGCTGAGACCGCTTCAAATAAAGCAAACATGCTCCAACTTTACCTCTGGTTGAAGGAGCATTAAAGTTGGGTTTGCTGCTTTTGAATCCTTCCCAGCTTGTTGATGCCTAGCAATTAGAACATACCAGCTGCTGCCCTTTTGAAACATTTCCCTGTTGGAAGGACTCCAAGTGTTCATGTGTCCATACCCTTAGTGTGCCAGCGGGCAAAAAATACAAATTCTAATTAGATGCTGCACAAAATGGGTCAAATTCTGTCACCCAGAAACATGTTGAGTGGCCTCTCACTCCATAAATAATACTGCTAATTTTAAAAGGGCTACTCCAAGCAAATAAGGACATTAGAATCTGATCTCATCTGACTTCTTAGGGTATAAAGGGTATGAGAAAGAAAAGATGAAGTCCAGGTTAATCCAAAAAATAAATTTGTTAAGCGTGAATTCATGTTACAGGTTGATTTAGGGGTCAAAAATGCTGTAATTAGCCAAAACAACAACAGACCCTGTTAGAAAGAGAACAGTTAGACCTATACCTTAATTTAAAAGGCATATTAATGCTTGAAAGTATGGAAATGGAAAGTCAAATCTCCCCAAACATGGGACTGGTAGGATTCCACCTCTGTTTCTGACAGATTGTCTTGAAAAGTTTATCCTCTGTGGAGCCGCAGACTTGGTATGTTACTAATGGTTCACCATTTGAAAGAGGACAGGTCATATCAAGCCTCCTACTGTACTCATCAGATACCAGGTATCTGAATTCTCTCAGAGGAGCTATGGTTGGACTTTCAATACATATTCTTCATTTGAATTTGTTACATTTTTCCCAAACCTAGACTTGTAATGAATGGAGCAAAACAGGAGGCTTAGATTAAGGTTGCTATGCCAGCATTGTGAATCATTGACTTCACAGGAGTTCAGCATAAATTAGGAGTGCAGGGTTTGGCTCTGTATGAATTTTGGAAATTAATGATCAGGTTTTATTCTGCTCAAATAGTGCAAGGTTTAATCAACTGAAGCCCCATGTTGCCACTGTCCATTAAAAACATGCATCTCTTCTTTAACCAATAAAGTCTAAATACAAATGTGCTTACATCATAGCACTCAGCAAGTTCATATGCAAATCTTTCTAATAAATTTGTATACATCGTTTCTAATAGGAAGAATATTTGATTTTTTATGGAGATTCATATTTGTTGAAAGCTGCTTTCATCTTTTTGTGAGGATGTTTAAACATGCAGTCTTATTACTTTTCTACAGAACATCTATACCTGCAGGAAGGCCAAAAAGTAAATTGTAGACTGAAGCTCTTATTACTTTTAAAAAGTTTGAGAATTAGGAATGATAAATGTAACAGATGTTCACAGTACCTTCAGTCAGCACCATATTAAAATGAATGTTAAGGACGGAACTAGAAATGATTTACTGCTGACCAATTAACCTCTCTGCTTCATTGTATCCTGAGTCAATGTTTCCATTAGCTACACAGTCTCAATTGGCTACCTTACAGAAGCATAAGGAGGTGTAATAAAATCTCAGTAAAATGCTTTAAGATCCGTATGAGAAAGACACTCTATCAATACAGATGATAAGTAGAATATCTTCTTTAGAGGTGATATGGTCACTTAGGGTGCATCCAGACGAGCACGCGCGCATCTCTTGCAGCGTCTCAAAGCCCTTTGAGACGCTGCAAGAGGCGCATTCAGGAACAAAAAACATTCCCCGCACTGCAAATATGCAGCACAGGAGCAAAACTAGACCCCTGGATATCCAGGGGTAAAAAAATACCCCGAGGGAAAAAAGCAGGGCAGGGCATAGTCCAGGACTGTGCCCTGAAGCAACCGGAGGCTCGGGTCCACCACAGAGATGCTCTGGTAGCCAGCCAGAGTGTCTCTATGGCTGGCCCTTGCCCTGGTGTTGAAGCACACTGCCTGCCTGTGCAGGGCAGGCAGGGGGCCAGCTGCAGGGAGCTGGACCCGGGCTCTGTGCTGGTAAGTAGGGGGTAGGGGGGATTGGAGGAGGGGAGAGGGGACCATGGGGGGACCCCTGCCAGCCCCACCCCCTACCTGTTCCCCAAACCCCCAGATCACTACCCCACTCCCCCAATCGCTGCCCCACCCAGCCCCCGCATCACAGCAAAACAAAACAAAACAAAACAAGCCCTGTACTCACTAGCAGTAGTAGTAGCAGCTGCTGTCGGGGTCACTGGGGTCTTGTGACAGAGTCCCCCCCATACAGCACAGGGCCAGGGGTGGGGGGGGGCAGCAGGGACTGGTCCCAGTCCCGGTCCCAGCCCTGGCCCCAGCCACCTGGCACCTGCACTGCCAGCGTCCCATTGCGGGGGTGCGGCCTGGGTCGGCAGGGCGCCGCGTGGCTCTCCATGCTGTCAGGCAGCTGGGGCCACTCAGGTTGAGCAGTGCTGGGCCCTGGATGACAGCCACAGCTGCCCAAGAGTGCATGGAGCCATGTGGCACCCTGCTGACCCAGGCCACAACCCCACAATGGGGCAGTGGCAGTGTGGGTGCCAGGCGGCTAGGGCCGGTCCCCTTTGCCCTGTGTTGTGCGGGGAGGACTCTACCATAAGGCCCCAGTGACCCTGATTTATTAAAGCACTATGAAAGTGGGAAGTATCACATCTTCAATATCACTATTTGACATGCAACATGATAGCTGGTTTTCAGTTTGAGTATTTCTTTCCTGTTATCTTTAGACTCATCAGTCACCACAAAAAGGCAAGTTGGTTGTAGGGAGAGGTGTCACACAGTCATGCCCAGGATGAAGAAAGCTGGATATGTTATCTTGGCCCTAAAATCTGCACAGTTTCCTCAGGAAGAATACCTTTGGTCAGACCAAAAAGGGGAAATGCTACCAGAAGATGTGGACTAGGTTCTGCTGAACAAGGAAGAAGAAAGCTCTTTAATAGAAAGACCTCTAACAGTAAATCCTGCAAGGCAGCACACTTCATTCAAGATGAGATACACTGAAATTAGACTGAAGAGGGGGTTTAAAAGAGATTAGAAGGAGTTAGAAAATGACTAGAGACTTATATGGATAACAACATGGGTGGGGTTTCACTAGCTCAGATAAACAATTCATAGAATGGCATGGAGTCCATTCTCTGGAAAGAGAGAGAGAGACAATTCTCGTCTTATTTTGTCCATTGTCCCATTCATACAATTGTGAACTTTTCTATTGTGGGGGCTACCACGTTGCACAGATTCATAGATGTAGGGTCGGAGGGGACCTGAGCAGATCAAGTCCAACCCCCTGCCCTGGGCAGGAATGAACACTGGGCACATATGACCACTAGTAAGTTTAAGGTCATATGACCCCAGCTAGGTAGTTATCAAGCCTCCTTTTAAAGACCCCTAAGGTAGGAGCCAGCACCACTTCCCTTGGCAGCTGGTTCCAGATCCTGGCCACCCTGACTGTGAAGTAGTGCCGCCTGATGTCTAGCCTGAACCTACTTTTAATCAACTTGTAGCCGTTATTCCTTGTTACTCCGGGAGGTGCCCGGGGGAACAGGGTCTCACCCACTCCCCTCTGGCCCCCCCTGGTAAGTTTATAGATGACCACTAGATCCCCTCTCAGCCTTCTCCTGTGGAGGCTGAACAGGTTCAGGTCCTTTAGCCTCTCCTTGTAGGGCCTGCCCTGCTGCCCCCTGATCATGCAAGTGGCCCTCCTCTGGACCCTCTCAATGCTGTCCACATCCCTCCTGAAGTGCAGCGCCCAGAACTGGACGAAGTACTCCAACTGCGGCCTGACCAGTGTCGCATAGAGGGGGAGGATCACCTCCTTGGACCTGCTCGTGATGCATCTGTGGATGCATGACAAGGTGTGGTTAGCTTTCCTCACCGCGTCCTCACATTGGTGGCCCATGTTCATTTTAGAATTTATAATGACTCCAAGATCTCTTTCTGCCACTATGCTTTCGAGAAGGGAGTTCCCCTGCCTATAGGTATGCTGCTGGTTCTTCCTGCCCAAGTGCAGTACCTTGCACATGGACAGGTATTTTCTGTAGTCCCCATTACCTTTGTGACTGAGGACCTGGTTCTAACCATGACAAATCAGAACACCAAATAAAATGGGCCATTGATTTGGGGAGGAGTGGTGAAGCTGAAGAAAGGAAGGAAGTTGAGTTCTTAGTGTACTTGGAGTCGATAAAGAGACCTTACAAACCTGAAAGGCAGAATGAAGGGAAGAAATGCACTTGCAGTGAATTTATTGCAGTTAAAACATATTTTTTAGATCAAGGCTGTCCTTCCAAGCATTTGGGGGCCACACGTCCCATAATTCACACCAGTGGGGCCACACACCCATGGGCTGCACCAGGGTAAGCCACAGATCCCCTGGGCTGCATGATAAGCGGATGCTCC